TAGAATTCTCTGATGATTGATTTAACATATAATTATAGAATGTATTCTATGAGCAGGAAACTTTAAGGGGAAGAAGAAGACAAACTTCTAGAACTTAGAGATGCGGAGAAGGAAGAAGGCTTGTAAGGAAGAGCTGATGGTAGTTAGATAGCTTCAAGAGAGACCCAGATAAAGGATTGCACAAGCTCAGAGAAGGAAGACATAACTTCTGGCTGGGGATCAAATAGAGTAAGACTTCTAAATTGAATTGTGCCTTAAAGGAAGATGAAGCACAGGCACTGTCCAGATTACGAATAAATTCTGTTCCTGAATCTGTCTTTAAGTCAAATTTGTATGTAAATTGGAAGTTAGGTATGATTTGTATTGAACTTTGACTCAACAGCACCCAACAACACTGCTTCATTTAGCCAAGACTCGGTCAATTTGCAATTTGTAGAGTCCTTAACAAGGAGCTCTAGTAGCATAGTGGTTATGAGTCAGGCTGCTAACCTCAAGATCAGCTAGTTCAAAACCACCAGTGATTCTGTGTGAGAAAGATGAGGCTTTCTGCTCCCATAAACATTTACTGCGGCAGAAACCCTATACAGGGTCGCTATGAGTTGGAACTGGCTCCATGACACACCACCACCACTAGAGTCCTTAACACTTGACTTTCTTCTATGAACAATTAGTTTTTCTGCTACTTGGGTGGTTTTACATTTCATTTCATAAACACAAGGATACAAGAAATATAACCTGAGCTTTAAACTTGAGTTTAAATTCTTTAGGAGGTAGAAACTTCTTATTATTGGTAAGTGCTTTTGAGTTGGTTCCAAATTACAGCGTTGCCAAGGCTTTACATTTTTTGCAGGAGCAGAAAGCTACCTCTTTCTCTGGAGTGGCCAGTGGTCCCGTGCTTATTGTATGGAGACACTGTGTTTCCAGATAGAAACTTAATCCCAGTGAATTAATTTAGTGGTTCCCCCTCATTGCTGTTTGTTTTTGGGTTTTGAAGGGTTTCCTTCAATGCTAGGACTCCTTGGTGGTACAAAACTGTTAACATGCTTGGTATTAATCATTGGAGGTTCAAGTCCCAAAAATACCTCAAAAAAAAGACCTGGCTATCTACTTCTGAAAAATGAACAATTGACAATGCTCTGGATGACAGTTCTACTTTGAGACACTTGGAGTCACCATGAATCAGAATCAACCTAAAGGCAACTGGATCTACAATGCCACGTATCATGGATGTTACACACTTGCAGTCCACATCATTGTTCCACCTGACCCTTGGTGTTTGGGTCCCTACAAATTAGCCTGGGGTTTTCTTTTTCGTATTTATAAGAGCCCCTCTGGTCCATTAGTGTGCTATTCTATTCCGATGTTGTTGTTGTTATTAAGTGCCATCGAGTCAGTTCCGACCCATAATGACCCTGTCTAGGGTTTCCCAGGACCATCTGGTGAGCTTGAACTGCCGACATAGCAGTTCAAATGGCTTTGCAGTCTGGCACTTTAACACACAGTGCCACACCAGGACTATTCCTATAGGACCCTGGAACTATAGTGGACCATAGATACCCGGAGAGACTGTCTCAGATCTATCAGCTAGACATCATTCGGCCTTTGCTATTTTTATGCCTTTATTGGGCACATAGAATCATTCTGTTGCATCTACAACAGCTGAAGCCAAGGAAAATACTCTAAGACCACTTGAAGGCACTGCTTCCCTAGGGTCTTTCCTCTTTCCAGATTCTGCTTGGGTATGGGGCACAGGTCTACTTCAGGCAGAGTTCACTGATGTATCTGGACAGTATTGCATCCCTGGGTTCTTCTTTTATGAACTTCTAGATAGCTACACATTCCTCATCTCATCTCCAATACCTCTCCTTTTCTCTCCTACCACCCAACCTAGAAGATTTCTTATGCATAATATAATCGGAATAATTGCCTATTATTTTATTCTCCAAAGGAGATACATGCTTTTGAAAAAATCAAAAGCAGAAGATATAACCTTCCTTGGAATAAAAGCTACAGAAAGGCTTAGCTACTAATTTTATTTGCTGGGCAGTAGCTGGTGAGCTTGAACCACCGACCTTGCAATTCAAATGACTTTGCAGTCTGATGCATTAGCCCACAGAGCCACATTAATTGTCCCTTATTCTTACTGCTTATTATAAACACTGATAATGATTTTATAATGCAGCATTTGCCCACCTGTTTTCATAGCAGGGTGTATGCACACAATAATAATATTTGTGTAGCACATTGGGCTAAATAGCTCAGGGACAGGCTTGCCTGTCTAGAAGCTGAGGTGATCGTTATTGCAGCCCACCTGTACCCTCTTCAAGTTACACGTGTGTCCTCTGTGCACAGGCTGGGAAGCTGTATTGAGGTGTATCAGAGACATTACGTAGTCCTGTGTTCTGCTAGTAACATTGATTCTTTTATTTTAGAATATCTGCAAACGAGCACTATTACCCTCCGGCTGTTCCCTTTCCTGACATTTAAGAGCCACTAGGAGACACAGTATCTTGGCACATGTGCCAAGAATGTGTCCAATCACTCTCTGACATTTCTTGACCTTTCTTGTTTGATCCCTTGCTTGCAGACTGTTTCCAATTCTCTGATTTTGAAGCATGGCCATTAAGTTTTGCAGGGAGGTCATTTTTAGAATGGTACTCAGTAGGAAGAGCAAATATAATAAGTAAAAAGAGAATGGTGGAGGCCATGCAGAGGACCCTAAACATGAAGGGCTCATTGTTAAGTAGGGCCACAATGGGTCCCCCTCTTGTGGCACGGGGCCCCAGGAGAGATCTCATGTGGGGACTCTGCTGTCTCTGTCTCTGTCTCTTTGTTTTAATCAGCTTATTTTTAATTTTCTAGATTTTATAATAAAAGTTTTCAGTAGAATCTTAGTAAGAAATATATTAGAGATTTAAAACTTGTACATTCACACCATATTCAATCATGCATAGTCCTAAAGAATGCTTCTCACACTAATAATAAGTTTCACCACTAGGAAAAACCAGCTAAAGTTTTTGCCAGCTCAAGTTCAAGATTACATTCAACATTCTGTGTCGTTTCCGTCAGGGGCATTAAGACCTTTAGGAAATTAGCAAAAATGCAGTTGAGGGCTAAGGGAATAGTATTAGATCATAAGCATAAATTTAACTAGATGTTTTGTATGGAGAAGTTTTTGGTATAAGAAAGTTGTTCTGTTTCTTCTTAACTACAAAACCTTTTTATGCTTTTTGTATTTCTTGTTTAATCAATCATAAAAAAACAATTGTGTTGTCAGTTACCATAGCAAATAATGTCTAGGTACATGTGATTAATGAATCTATAGAAAATAATAGTTGAGGGTAGAAATAGGAGTTAAGATTTAGAATTATGTTTTAAGGTTAACGTGACATTTTTAGAGCAATGAGGTTTGTCTACAGAAATCAGATATTGTCTAACTATGTAAAGGGATACAAGGAAGATTTTGATATTCTTGATGTTCTATATTGAAATGATTAACATGTGTGATTTAGACCACTACTTTGAAAAGAATGATTAATAGATTGATGGTATAGAGTAGTATAAAAGCTGTCTGAGAATCTGTAATAAAGAGCAAGAGGAAAAATAAAATGTAGAGGCATGAGGAGAAATAAAATGTAGAGGAAAAAGGAGAAATAAAATGTGAAGGGAAAAAGAGGAGAAATAAAATGTAAAATGTGAGAGGAAAAGATTCACCATTTAGCAAGACCCATCGATTCTGTGAGCTTCATTCTTCACTGACATCATACCTCCCTCTAGGACCCCCAAATAAGAGTGTCGGAGCTGGCTTCCGACAAGAGGAGAATAAACTACAGAGTCTTTGCCAAGTAGGCAACTTTAGTCTCTTCTCATTGTGTTCCTTTTTGTTTAGCAACTTAACACTTTACCATTGTATCACCAGGGCTTCTTCCAACCAATTTCCTATGTTGTTGTTGTTGTTGTTATGTGCCATCGAGTCGGTTCCGACCCATAGCGACCCTGTATAGGGTTTCCGAGGGTGTAAATCTTTACGGGAGTAGAAAGCCTCATCTTTCTCCCACGGAGCAGCTGGTAGTTTCGAACTGCTGACCTTAAGGTTCGCAGCCCGATTCGTAACCACTACGCACCAGAGCTCTTTAAACAATTTCCTATGATCCTTAAATATAGGGCTCCGTGCCTTCAGAGTTGAGGGGAAGAAGAGGTTTTCTGCATTTCTGAAAGCTTCTGGCTCTATCTGAGCTCATCTGCTTTTGAATGGCAGAATCTGAGGGTATCAGCCTCACACACACTCATCCCCTTCTACTCTCCAGACAACCAGACATGCTTAAATACGCAGGTTTAAAAAAGCACTTTTAAAATTAAATAAATGTAAAACTTTTCTTTCTTTTATTTGCTTTCAAATAAAATACTCTAATTCCACTCCCAGTATGGTTTGAGAATATCAGAATCGTGATATGCCAATTAAAAAAAAAAAAAAAAAAAGAGTGAATCTTGGAATTCACAAGACCTGGGTTTGAGTACCAGCAGCACCATTATATAGCTAAACATGCAAGTTCGGTTCATCTAAATCTCTTATAAAGTTACCTTTACCTATAGTCATCAATGCTGGACCACTGTATGTGTAGAGCGGAACTGCATTCCATAGGTTTTCAATGACTGTGATCCTACAAAAGTATATCACAAGATCTTTTTTGTGTTGATTCATACTGTCAACCTTTTGATTAGTAGTTGATTTGTGCCACCCAAAGACCTTGGTGCTAATGATGTTGGTGTTGTGATACCTGCCCAGAGCAGATCTGAAGATCAAAGGAGACTTCATGCATGAAAGTACTTTCTATGTTCTAAAAGTGAAAGGTAAATGCAATGTGTGGTATTGAAAATGTCTAGTCAGTCCCCAAGTCCAGTGTCAGTTACTTCTAAGAATTTCAGTATTAAGAGCACAGTCCTCGTAACACCTAAGTTAACACTTGTTCTCCCTGTTTATTCCTTGTGTCCTTCTGCAGAGTAACCTGATCCACTACCTGGGCCTGAGCCATCATCTTCTTGCCCTGAATTTTATCATTATTTCTTTCGGCAAGAAAACTGCCTGGTCGTCTGCTAAGGTGAAAGTGACAGATACTGACTTTGATGGTGTGGAAGTCAGAGTGTTTGAAGGCTCCCCGAAGCCAGAAGAGCCATTGAGACGCAGCATTCTTTATGTGCATGGAGGAGGCTGGGCATTGGCAAGTCCAAGTACGTCCTGGTCATCTTTGGATTTTGTGAGATGTGTTGATCCTGGGGGAAATTTGTGACTGTGTTTGGCTATCTTCTTGGGTAAAGACAGTGGGATCATTTTGTTGGTTTCCCTGAACAATCTCAGTTACATCTGTTGATCTGACAAAATTAGTAATAGTACCCCTTTTTCACTTTCAGAAGGGTCTTGGTTTGGATGATGTTAGATGGTTACCCTAGGTAAAATTTTGATCTATTCAGATAAAATATCTTGAAAATACTTCCTGTGACTTAAGTCATAGGCTAGTTTATTTTGAAGTGCTCCTAATAGCTTTCTTCACTAAAGCAAGGTGCACCTGACCCAAGCCATGGTATTTTCAATAACCTCATATGCATGCGAAAGCTGGACAGTGAATAAGGAAGACCGTAGAAGAATTGATGCTTTTAAGTTATGGTGTTGGAGGAGAATATTGAAAGTGCTCCTTGGAGGCCAGGATGGCCTGACTTTGTCTCTCATACTTCGGACATATTGTCAGGAGGGCCCAGTCGCTGGAGAAGGATGTCATGTTTGGTAGGGTGGAGGGTCAGAGAAAAAGAGGAAGACCCCCAGCTAGATGGATTGGCAAAGTGGCAGGATCAGTGGGCTCAAGCGTGGCAACGGAAGTAAGGTTGGCCCAGGATCAGGCTGTGTTTGGTTCTACTGTACATAAGTCGCTATGAGTTGGTACCAACTCTATGTTACCTAACAACAACAACAACAATCAATACATCTTGATTGCATATTTGATCAACTTCAGACTGAAGAAGTTAGTAGAATTCAATTTCATCATCACTGGCTTTAGTGGTTGGTGTGTACATTTTAATAAAATTTGTATTTACTGGTCTTCCTCATGGTATACAGAGATTATCCTGTCACAGACAGCATTGTCCTTGGTTGTTCCTGGCATAATAAACTATATGCTTGTCTCATTCAAAATGGTCTGTACCATCTCATTTCAGCTCACTAATGCCTAGGCTATAGATCTTTATGCATCCATTTCAGTTTTGACAACTTCCAATTTACGTAGATTCAGATATCATACATACCATGTTCTGATTATTAATGAACGTTTGCAGCTTTTTCTCTTCATCTTGAGTTGTGCTCCATCAGCAAAAGAAGATCCCTAGCTTTACTCACTTCGCAACATCACAGTCAACTCTACTTTGAGGAGGCAGCTCTTCCCCAGTTGTATTTTGAGTGCCTTCCTACATGAGGGGCTCATCTTCTGGCACTATATCTGACAATGTCCCACTGCTAATCATAAGGTTTTCAGTAGCTAAATATTCAAAAGTAGTCTGCTTTTCCTTCTTTGTAGTCTGTCTTAGTCTGAAGCTCCAATGAAAGCTGTCTTGTTGGTATTTCAAATACTGGTAGCATAGGTTCCAGCATTACAGCAACATACAGGCCACCACAGTGTAACAAACTAATAGTCAAGTGATGGAGAATATGATGGAATTATCTGTAACTCTTTTATTAGCTTGTATTTTGAAAACATCTTTCTATGAAACAGAATGAGCCATTTCTGAATACATCAATATTTTTTCTGTTCATAAAACCAAAGATCAGTATATAAAAATAAATTATCTTAGATATGTCAAGAATGTTCTTTTTAATGTTAGATAACTTTTAGGAGAAAAACACGTTCAAAATGGCAGGCTCTCATTTCTTCTTTTATGTATCATAAAACTACTTCCTCAGTTTCATCACAGAGCTTTTAGAATTCATTGAGTTTAAAATTGTGGCACTGTAGAATAAGCACTGGACTGGTAACCAGAAGGTCGGTGGTTCAAACTCACCAGCCACTCCTAGGAAACCCTATACAGGATCACTTTGATTTGGAACCGACTCCATGGCATTTAATCACACCAATTTAAAAGGCAGCCCCTAAGTTTGAAAGGCAATAGAAGCTTATTTTGTTTATTTAATCATTCTGTGCTTTTTAAAAAAATTTTTATTGTGAACTTAATGAAGATTTAGTTTTTATTAAAATGTAGCAAAAGTCAGAAAGGATATTCTTTTAATAAGAAGGCAAATTTCATTTAGCTTTATATTTTCCATCTACAGGTGTTGTTTATTTTTTCATTTACTGATTTGTTCTTGTTAACACATGTTCACTGAGTAACTAGACTTGCTCAGGACTGAGGATTTTCAAGAGGCACGAGACTTTCATTTCAAAACATAAACAGTCCTGGGCAAACATGGTTACTTCACTGTGTGTTACAGGATGTGTTAGTTATCTAGTGCTGCTATAACAGAAATGCCACAAAAAGGTGACTTTAACAAACAGAAATTCATTCTCTCACAGTTTAGGAGGCTAGAAATGTGAGTTTGAGGCACCAGCTCTCGGGAAGGCTTTTTGTCACTATCAGCTTTGAGGGAAGATCCTTGTCCCCTTTCAACATCTGTAGGCATGGTGTCCCTGGAAAATCACCATGTGTCTTGGCATCAATTTTCACCTGAGTCCAAAAAATGAGCTCCATTCCTTGCTCTTTTTACTTGGAGTTACTGAGGTCTTTCTGATCTTCACTAGCTTGTTTAATCCCTTTTATATGCCAAGAGATGGACTCAAGATACATAATCTTGTAGATTGCATCCTTCCTCATTAAAGTACCTGCTGTCTTGGCTTGAATTCTCTAGAGAAGCAAAAGCAATGACATATATATATACAGAGAGAGAGAGAGAGAGAGAGAGAGAGAGAAACATTTATATCAAGAAGGTTTATGACTTACACAGTTGTAGAGTTCCAAGTCCAGGTCAGATGAACCAATATCAACAGGTCTTACAACTAGGTCAGATGGCAGGTAGACAGCCTCAGGCAGTCAGGTAACATGAGATCACTGGCTGAAGTCCAAAGAACTGGAGGTTGGAAGATGAGCCAGGTGCCAGATCCAGACACAACCAAGAGTGAACAAGCTTTTGGTTCTAAATATATTGGAAGCAGGCCACACCTGAGAGTCTAAATATATTGAAAGCAGGCCACACCTCCTTGAAATAGCCTTTCAATTGATTGGCTGCTAATAGCAGACCTCATCATAGAGTTAATTACATTATATTAGATCTCATTATGTAGATAACTACATCTCAACTTCAAAACATCTGAGAATCCTGGCCCAGCCAACCTGACATGAAACCTTAACTGTCACAACTGCCTCTAAACCTGCCTCTTTAACATCACAGAGGTGAGGATTTACAACATGGACAATAAATCAGATTAAAAACTGGAGGATAATTACATAATACTGAGAAGCATATTGGGGGGGCGGGACACAATTCAATACATGACAGAGGGTAATGATACAAAAGAGAATAAGACAGTGTCTCTGCTTTAGAGATAATTGAGTCACTAGCATTGGTCACTTTCCAGGTAGGACACTGCACTGAAGGACAGGGAGAAATGGCATACATTGCAAGAGTCAGCCTGGCCTTGCCACACAGTTTTGCTGATTAAAGGAGCTCTGGTAGCGTAGTGGTTATGAATCGGGCTGTGAACCTCAAGGTCAGCAGTTCGAAACCACCAGCTGTTCTGCTGGAGAAAGATGAGGCTTTCTGCTCCCGTAAAGAGTTACAGCTTCGGAAACCCTGTGCAGGGTCGCTATGGGTCGGAACCGACTCCACGACTCATAACAACAACTGCCAGAGGAAGAGCTCAGATTGGTGTTGGTATGCAGGTGGTGGTGCAATTATTAAACATTCGGTTCTAGGACTGTCTTGTTACTGTTGTTAAGTACCTTCGAGTCAGTTCCAACCCTTTGTGACCTTGCATTGGGTTTCTGAGGAGATTGAACTGCCAACCTTGTGGTTCAAACCAACTTTGCAGTTCAGCCCATTAACGCACAGCACCACGTGAGAACTCCAGGGACTATTTTAGATGATCTATAAATAAGGAAATATGTGGTTTTCTATTAAGGAACTCTGGTAGCACAGTGGTTATGAGTCAGGCTGCTAACATCAAGGTCAGCAGTTTGAAACTACCAGACATTCCACGGGAGAAAGATGAGGCTTTCTGCTCCTATTAAGAGTCACACGGAACCCCTATACGGGGTCACTATGAGTCAGAACTGACTCCATGGCACACCACCACCACCAACTCTTAATTTATTGAAAGAACAACTAAGCAATTACGTTTTTATATATTAAAATTGTTCCATTAGTGTTGAGCTTTGACAGAACAATTTTCTAAAAAATGTTTGTTGTTGTTAAATACTGTGAGTCAGTTCTGACCCATAGCGACCCTGTATAGGGTTTCCGAGGAGCAGCTGGTGAGTTTCCAAGGAGTAGCGGTTCAAACCGACCTTGCAGTCGAGTGCTTCGCCTACCGTGCCGTACCAGCAGCTCCTAAGACTTCCTGAAACTCTGGTTTGCTATTTGTTGCTTTAAACATAATACCTTATTCTTCAAATTGGTGATTTTCTTAAATGACAGCAAACAACATGTATTAAAAGGGTAAAATTATATACTTATGGGGAGGAAACTGTCTATTTGTTGTTTTTTGCTTGTTTGAAAAACAAACATTGGAAGAATTATAAAATCAGAATGAATTTGATTTAATTCACATAATCCATTGTGAAATACATGTTCAGTCATTGAAGACTACATTCAGAAGTAATTTAATATACATTCCCTGTCATTTGAAAATAATTACGTTATATGAGAAACCAGATTTAATCTTTGCATTTGTACATGTAATTTATAATTAATTAGGCTTTCATTCCCTTCACATTTGATTTTTGTAACTTATTTTTATTATGAATAACTTAAATCCAGGTCTAGAAATTAGCTGATGTTATTAAGAGTAAAGAGTATGAAATGACTTGTTTTATATTGGTCATGCCTTTGTGTCTTTTAGAAATCAGCTATTATGATGACCTATGTACAGTAATGGCAGAAGAATTGAATGCTGTCATAGTCTCCATTGAGTAAGTAATTAACACTGAGTTGGATTTTTTTTTTAATTAATTTTTAGAGATCCTAGATAGTAGGCAGTTACTTTATTTTTCAAGCGATAAGGTGTAAAATCAAAGATCCATTGAGGTGTGAAGGGATTTGTATAACATCAGACTCAGTATAACCAGAAAAATCTACTTCAGATACAACTTAACATTTTTTTGCACTGCCTTTATAACTTCTCTAATTACTTTTTATATTAGTTCTAGAAATTTCTGGAAAAGGACTTAACTGAAAGCAAGTTACCTGCTATGCACAAGTTTGGCTACCATCATTTTTATTAAAAGACAATTAGAGTTTCAAGAGAATCTTTCCTACAGCTAAGAGTTAGAAAAGTCATTCTCCTGGAGCTAGCTTCTATGGCTTGTACCCTGTGGATAGTAAATGTTCAATAAGCTTGGGTTGATGTCATTGTTATTGTTATCATTAATGTTAATATTAGTGTTTTGCTTCATTCTATCAGTTCTAGCCACTGTTCTGGGCAACTAAGAAAATGAGCATGAAATAACAATTGTGGTGATAATAATAATACATTAGTCATGGTTCCTGTTATGTGTCATACTGCTTTTGCATACATCGTCTCACATCCTTCAGGTGTTAGCTCTCACATTTAATATTGGAACTATGCTCTTTCTACTTTTTTTCTTTTCAAAGTCCTCATTAATATCTGACTAACCATATACTTTATTTGTTTATGTTTATATTGTCATTGATGAAGATAGACAATATAGCACCGTGAAGACACAGATTTTTAGGAATATTCATGCTTTCTTCATTGTAGAACCATTAGTGCCTATATACATCCCTGGCATATAGTGAGCCTTCAATGAATATTTGTAGAATGAAGAATGATGAGTGGATGAATGAAGATTCTCACTTAATTCTCATATAATATAAAATGTTCAAGATTTATTTTTATATCTTCCTCATAAATAAGAAACTGAGGTTTTAAGAAGTTAGTAACTTGCATAAGGCCATATAGCTAGTAGGCAATGGAATGGGGAATTGGGCCTCCAATTTTTTTGACTCAGTATCAAGTCAGTACTGAATAAAACTCATGATGTTGAGTGATAGGGTTGTGGCCACTATAACATGTTCTATTACCTGAGCTCCTACAGTTCTTTCCTTCTCTCTACCTCTTTCTGTTAACTGCCCCCTCCCTGACCTCCCATTCATGGCTTTATTGCCTCCTTACCTCTTCTCCAGATCTAGGACTTAAGATAATTATTTCTTCTGTGGTCTTTTGCAAGGACTACAACTTACTTATCTAGTGCTGCTGTAACAGAAATACCACAACTGGATAACTTTAACAAGCAGAAATGTATTTTCTCAAAGCTTAGAAGACTAGAAGTCCAAACTCAGAGCGTCAAATCTAGGGGAAGGCTTTCTCTTTCTGTTTTCCTACAATTTAGGAGAAAAGTCTTTGCCTGTTTTCAGTAACTGTGGGCCTAGTATTTTTTAAAGTTCTCCATACATCTAGACATCAATTGTCCCCTGAGTCTAAGAGGGTCCTATCTGAATTTAGAGACAATCTCAAGAACAAAAGGTAATAAACTATAACAAGAAAGAAAGAAAAGACCAAAGTGGATATCAGAAGAAACTCTTAAATTTGCCCTTGAGGATAGAGAAGCTAAAGTAACTGGAAGAAATGAGGACATAAAAGAGCTGAACAGGAATTTTCAAAGGGCATCTCTAGAAGAGACTCAAATATTATAATGAAATGTGCAAACACCTGGAGTTAGAAAACCTCAAGCTGGAAGAACCAAAAATATTTCAAGCCTTGGCTTGCAATATTGAAGGATTCTATGGACAAAATGTTGAAT